TGAATGCAAAAAAAAAAAAAAAAAGCTCTATGCACAATTCCGAGTTTTCTTCAGTGATTTATGGAAATGCCCTTGGCAGCTTCTTTGTGCAAATGTGCTAACCATGTCCAGCACAGGAAAACGTGATCTCAAACGAAAAAGATGCCTAATTTTCCCTGCAAATAGGGCCTACTGCAGTACTCACTGTGGTCAATAAAAAGTCTGCTGTAGACAGCCATGGGCATGGAAGTAGCTTCACAGCTTAGTTTAAAAATGTAAAATTAATATCAAGTGAGAAGATTGTTTAATGGTAATTTGAAGAGTTATTTTTCAAACTTATCTCTGCTTGATCTTAGAAAGAGGACGAAAATCGGAAATCTATTAAGGGAAAAGAGAAGGCAAATAGAGCTCTCAGGGGAAGACTATTGATAATCTGGAGAAGAAACAGAGCATTAGGAGGCATCACTAAAAACTGAAGTCCACTAAATAGGAGGAGAAAATGAAGAAAAAAGAAATGAGGTGGTGAACCTGCAGAAATAGGTCCTGGTCGCCAAACCAGTCTGCAGACCAGCTCTCCTGTTATGTGATTGCAATGCTCTGCAAGGTGGACTGGCAAAGAAAACCCCATTTTTGCAGTTGCCTGTGGGCAGCTGTGTCCATCTGGAGCCTCGGAGGGACGAATGGGTCCTTGCATGGGTGAAGTTACCTCTGCTGTGGCATCTACAGAACTACCCTACACAGTTCTGCACAGCCTGATGCTATTGAAGCAACAATAAAGAGACTTCATCTCTGTGATTGGTACTAATTAGCCTTTCCAATACAGCTTCCCAAATGCCTTTCCACTTGCCATTTTTAGCCTGCAACACAGCTGGATAGATAGTCCTCCAGCTGTGAAGCAAAGTGCCGTGCTCTTCTGCAGGAGCCGGACTGTGAGGCTGTGCTGCTGTGGGTGGCAGGGTCGGCTGGGCACGGACCACAAGAGAGGCTAAGCACTCTTGCTGTTGCCAGCACTTATTTAAGGACTGTTTCCGGATCATTTTTGCACTGTTCGTGAAAACAGAGAACTGGGCAAAAAACATGCACAGCCTTATGTGTTGCTTCCTGCGAAGCGAAATGAGATTATTAGTCCGTGTTAACACACAACACATATACTTTGAGTGTGATGGCATTCACCAGCTGCCTCTGGCAAGTCCAGGGAGCTAATATGCTTTGTAATGCATTTTTTGGCTAAAAGTGGTCTTTTCAGTCACACTGAAGGTAGCGGCTTGAAAGAAAACAGTCTGACTGTCCTTTGTTGCCTGCTCGGCCTCTGGCAGTCTCTCTGAATTTCATGAGAAAGGATTACGAAGGGTGCATTTAAACCATCACGTTGGCCAGTCGTGGCGTGAAATCACACTTGCCTGTGCACGCTGGCTGGATCAGCGGCGTCTCGGGAACGGTATTTATAGCAGACGTGGCCTGCGGGCCGCGGACAGCTCATGCGGTCGGTCTGCTGGGGCGGTGCGTTTCGGCATCTCTCCCCGGTGCTGACGTGGGCACGTGGTGCTTGCCAGGTCCAGCCAGGGCAAGCGCTCGTTAATACCTGCCAACAAATTAACCGCTGCTCTTGCTCCTGCCCTGCAATCGAAGGCCGTCCAGCCCATCCTGAGCACCAATGCGGCCTCCCCTGTCCTTTCTCTCCCCTTCACAGCAGGGAAACGGAAGCAGCTACAACGTGGTCACCATCTTCAGCTGGGCAAAGCCATCAGGAGAGTCACCTCTTTTTGCAGGACCAATTTACTTCTGTGTAATCGTGCCTTCTTTCCTGGACCCTGTGGTGGCAATGCAGATACCTGGCCAGGGGAGGCTCAGCGATTACTCTTTACACCCCCAATGCTTTTGGTAGCTGCAGGAAACCAGGTCACTCAGCAGAAGTAACATTGCAAAGGGAGTTTGGACCTTTTTACTGAGAAAATGCAATCCTTTAACTTTAAAGCAGGCTTTATGTTCCTTTGATTTCATATAGCTGTGTTAAGTGTCTGCTCCTTTTGGTAAGGACATGATTTCTAGATTGCACCTTGGATCATATTCTGACTTATTTACAAAATAATTAGCCACAGGAAGAGGTTTGAGGGTCCCACAGGTATTTTTATGTCAGCCTTGACCAGTGGCGATCAGTCAGGGGTGGCCAAGATAAACCATGAATCTGACAAATCACTGCCGTCTGATGAGCAATTAGCTGAGTAGCCCATGATTTACCGAAATCAGATCTTCCTGAAGTCTCTTTATAATGAATCAGATTTCTAGCATCTTCTAGCTTCTCTTCCAGTTCCTGAGTAAACAACGAGCAAAGGTGATCACTGCAGTAGCCAGAGAGCAGACAATTTGGTGAGTCATGTCTCCCTCTGCCCTAGCTGAATAAAGTCCCTCTCGCTGGGTGGTAACGCGATCATGGTGCCTCACTGCGTAATTTTTGCTACAAAGGAAGTCCACCCAGTGAGGTGACACCGAAGACATCAGCTTCTTCATTCTCTAGGTATGATTCATAGCAGCTTTAGTTATTTAACAGAATAAGTAGCTTCACTGATGTGCTAGAAATGAGGGTCGAGCCTGTTTTTCAGCTTGGATCCTCCAGGGATGCTGTGCCGATTGCCAGATTGCTTCCTGGATGAGAGCGTGACTCGGCCATCAAACGTTTTTTCACTCTTTGTATTCGGTTTTATGTACCCAAAGCTCCTCCTAACGGGGTGCAGATGTTTCTCAAGCTCGGTTATCGTGGAAAATGAAGAGGAGAAGGAACTACTGAAAACTCCAAAGGAATTGCAGGAAAACTCTTGTACTCTTGAATCGCTCGCAAGGAAATAGCTAGGAAGAAAAACACAAATGGCCTTTTTTTCCAAAAACCGCTGCTGCCTCCTCATGGGGTAAAGAAGGGGTGGAACTAGGATGATACTGCTTCAAGGCAAGCAAGGAACCCTAAGGCTGAATGTATCATAAAAACACATATGAAATAAGGAAAAAAGACAGTACAGGCAGGGTTTCTGGCTGGAGATAGACTGCCAGGGAGCAGTAAGCAGCTTGCGAGTACTGGGGTGGGCTGCTTGCTGCCCTTGGCCCCAGAGTACGTGTGCTAACTGTACTAACTGCACTGATTGCACTAAATGCACTAATTGCATTAACTGTGGCCCAAAGCAACTTACTGCCAGTGGCAAGGAGCTGCAGTTATTTCACATCGGGCTCCCTTGGACCATCACTGCCCAAAGCATCCTGATGATGGGGCTGGGAAGCGGAGGAGTGAAGACAGATGAAGCCAAAGCGCATCCGGACAAGGCACTTAGAGGTGCAGTTTTCAGATCTGGGTCCACGCAGACTAGGAAAAAACCACTGTGCTTTAGCAAGCAGCTATTGGGTAATAAAACAAGCTGAGAGCATTTCTGTTTGCCTCCATGTGCAGCGGTTCTGTACTTGGAGCTTTTGATATGATTTTCACAGCTTTTGCACCAAACAGGAAGCAGTGGTGGTTGAAGGGGAAGGAGCCTGGGACAGTGCCTTGCTGGCAACGTTTTTCTCCCTCTTGTCTTTTTTCTCTGCCTTTTTGCAATCAAAATATCTCTGATTTCAAAGGCAAGAATTGATGGTTTGGCTGGAGATGGCTAGCTGCTGCATGCCCTGCCCGAACATGCTCTCTGCCTGCTATTCAAGGGGCTGAGGATATCCAAATCCTCACGTAGCAGCAATAACTAAAATTCAACCATTTTGGACTTATTCATCTGACCTTTCCTCTTCCTGATAGGGATAGACGGACAGCCTGAAAAATGATGCTGAAATTATGACTTAAAAAAAAAAATGTACTGGAAAGGTAACAGTGTTCCTTAGATAAAAATGTCACAGTCCAAACCAAACAGGGCACACGCCACCCATGGCTGTTTCAAGCCAGTCTGTCAGCTGCATCTGCTAGCTGGCACCTGAATGTACTCACTGAACAGAAAGTAATTGCACATGAAGCCAGCCAAACGCTGAAAATCGCGGTCCTAAAGGTGGTCTGTGTCCGAGCTGCAAACAAGAAAGAGCCGCGGAGGCGTTTGGTAAATCTGCAGGATTAGAGTAAGCCCAAAAAGCAACTAGGAGCAAAACCATGGCAGGACTTTTAAGGGAAGAAAACAGCTTTTTAAACCACTGCATAATTTAGGATGAGGAAGGAGTATGTATTTAAGGCTGGAATTAAATGTCTTTGAAAGCTACCCCAAAAACGATCATGGCAACCGAGTCCTGTAAAAGCTACCAAGAGGATAGGAACCACGGCTGGTGGAGGAGGTTCCCTGGCTCGCACTGGCCGCTCGCAGAGGCGACCACCGGCCTCCGAACCCACAGCCACCACCATGGGCACGTTCACAGGTTTTATCATTACTTAGGGCAAGAAGGTGCCGTTGAAAAGCAAAAGGTTTGAATTGTACTAAAGGAGGGAAATAGTTTTTGCTGCCTGGTGAAACACGATGCAACAGCTAAGCTTGGATTCGGCACGGAGGTAGGGCTCTGCCCAAGCCTGCGCCGCAAACGCGGCACTTCCAGAAAGGTAAAATACAGCACAAGCGGCGGCTGGTCACGAGGGCAGGATATGCCACTTGGGTTGTTCTGGAGCAGTAAACAGTGGAAAGGAGGATTCGTCCCACAGTGGGGACGTCTGAGCGGGGAGCGGAGCTTCCCTCCCGGCTGCAGTCCCCAAACCAGGGCTCTGCCAGCGTGGGACGCCGAGGGCGGTGGGGCTGAGCCCAGGCACGTGGGCCTCGCAGGGCACAAATTGCCTCGAGGGGTAGAAATAGGGCTCGCAGGAGGGCTGCAGGCTTGCTCCCTGCCTGAAGGATTTGGGGGAACTCCGGGTGAGCTGGTCTGCTTTGAGAAAGTTTATATGCTAAGGGTGCCAGGCTGGTGGAGGTGGGTGAACGCATTCAGGTGGTGTTTTTGGTGTGAAATGCTGCTTGTGGGATCAGAGCGAGAATTTTTGCTCGGGATTTTTGCTTGAGAATTTTTTCTGCGTGTTTTAGGTGCTGTGGGATGCAGTAGGAGCTGCTGGGCTCAGTGCAAGTAGTCCATGTGCTTGGACTCATTATTTCAGCTAATGAAATTCAGATCTTGCGAAGGAGTAAGGATCCTCAGCAAGGTAAAGGGTTATTTTTATACTTTAGCAGTGTGCGTGTTGGTGGCAGCTGTAGTTTCCCCACCAGGTTAAAAAGAAATACAGGTATACAGCCTTCCCCCCACCAGCGAGGAAAACGCAGTTGGTACAAAGCTGGCTGATCCTCTCTGCTCTGCTCCAAGTAACTAGCCTGATTTCACTGAATCCTCTTTGCTGCTTTTCTCCTCCCCAAACCCATCCTCTTCCCAGCACTATGCTGTTTGCAAGACAAATTTATAACCGAGGCCAGCAAAACTGTGAGATCACCTGGAGCAGATCCTCTCATTGGAGAGGGCATAGGTGGAGACAGGCTGACCTAGCCGAATAACCCACGCTTGCTCCTGGGAAGTGGCTTTACTTGTGTTCAGCTGCTCTCACTATTTGCATTACAGTGATAAGGCAGAGCAATCACTGCCCGGTGATGTGCAGAGATAAGGGAGAGCAGGGCTCTAGCCTGCTCCCTCTCCAGGCTTCCCCGGCTGGGGAAAAAGCAACTTTTTGCCTGCTTTTCTGCTCGTTGCAGCACGCTTTCTCCCTTCGTTCAGGCTTTGAGCCCCCGCAGCCTGCGGCCCTGGTGTTTCCTGGGATCCAGCTCCCTGCTGCTGCCTCTAAAATCCAGTGAAAGTTTTACAGCTGCTCTTTCCTGTTGGAGCGCAACCTGTATTTCTAGCAAAGCACGGATAAGATTAGAGGCCACATTGCCCTTTCAGTCAAAGGCAGGGAAGCTTAACTCTTCCTCGACCTGGGCAGCGAGGGGTTTTGAAGCAGCACAAACTGAAGGCAGCCGGATGGATGTGTCGGCAGCACGCAGCCTGCATCTGTCAGGTTAAATGCAAGTCTTCAGGTGTGGCTGTGAAATGATGAGTGTGGGCTGCTGGCAAGAGAGGCCTCTGCAGAGCCTGAACTGCTATGTTAACGGTGAGATCCTTTAATGTTCCCCTTGACGCTATGTACCATCTGTAAAAACACACTTGGGTCCGCGAGTTCCCGTTTTTCAGTGCTGGTGTACTCTGTTTAATAGCACCCCCTGCAGTCGTGCAGCCAGAAGTTATTCCAGTAGAACTGGCTCAGCATCCATGAATCATTTTAACCCTTTTTCTTCTGCGTAAATTGAGACTGTTTGCTCCCAGCTAATTTAAGAGCAACTTTGGATAGGGATGCAGACTTGACGTAAAGCGCATCACGTGCAAAAAATAGCTGAGCTGCCCGGCAGACCCAGGCTCAGGTCGGTCTCGTGTCTGCTGGAGTGAAGGTCTGGCTGCGACCGCTGCAGCTGCAGGACGTGGCATGAGCAGAGCATGCTAAGTGGGCCCCAGAGCAGAAGTCCTATCTGTGTTAACAGCTCCTCTACAGATCTGGGCAAGTTACTCTATTTTTTTCTCCCCCAATTTGTAGTGCCAGCTTTGAAGAAAAATGAGAAGAATATACTTCCTAATCAGGAATGCAAGGAATAAAGCATTGCTTTGTGGGAGATGGAGAAGTCTTATTCTGTGAGAGTTTTTAAATCCCGTTTTCCCCTGTGTGCTGCAATTTAGAATTTGAGCAGTTTTTAAAGGCTGACAATTTTTGGCTTGTACGGTAAAAAGAGACTCTCTTTAGCTGAAGGACTAAAAGCATTAATTTCTCGGTCTTAGGTCCGTGTGTTTCTGATACAGATGAATGTACCAATGTATGGTCACAGGAGCTGATGAAGGAACAAGGTGATGCCCCCACCTCCCCCCACCCCACCCCACCCCACACTCATAGTCATAGCAACTGCTCTGAAAGTGTAAATTAAAGGTTTTTTTGGATGGGCAGTTTATCATGTTTCCTTTTGGTGGCAGTGTCTTTCCAAATATTATCAAATCATCAGCTGCTGTTTCAGCTGTAAATCCCTCTAGGATGTCTGGCTTCCCCCAGGGACCAAAATGCAGCTCTTGCCCTCGGTGGAAACAAAATCACTTCTATTACTTCCACAGGTCAGGTAGGAAAGGTGCCAATCTACATAATTAGTTAATTAGTTAGCATCTCAATAGCAGTATATATATGCCAGGTGAGCCAGAGAGTAACTCATAATGCTAGAGTAATCTGGGGCTGGAGTTTCTGTGCCAAGGATCCTCTTGCCTTTCTCTCAGCAGCAGCTGTGCTGATGGGGACTCTGACGCGACAGCAAGGATGTGCGGTATTTTGCAAGATGCAAAGAGTCACTTACAAGAATAAATCATTTTGAAGAACAAGCATTTCCTTCAACCCTGGATAGACATCTCCTTTGATATCTATGCGTTGAACCACACACTTCCAGGAGGAAAAGCATCCACCTAAAGATCCAGCCTCTGCTGTGAGCCCACAAAGTTGCGTACCTGGCACGCAGCATGGGAAGAAGAGCACCGAGTGCGGTGCGTGAGCTCACCGCGGGTACCCAGGACACCCGCTGGCAGCGTACCACGGCCAGGAGTCAAAAACCAGTGTAAGAGGTTGCCAGGCAAGGCATCCTTTATAGCATGTGGGCTGCAGGGACAGGAACGTGGCTGCAGAAGTTGGGTGAGTAATTGGATTTGCCAGCTGTTACCTTAATTTTGTTTCTGCTTTTCAGAAGACTTTTTCTTAGCCAGAGCAACACAACTGGTTTCTCCATAGTCACCTAAGATGAGGTGGGGTGTTTGCGCTTCCCTAAAGAGCACGGGCCCTGATGATGTGTGACCACAGCATGGATGCGTCCAGAAAAATCCCTTTACGCTGTATAACTCTCACAGCCCATCTGCACCCTCCTATTGCAGTTTTGGGGTGATGAATCCCAAAGTCACGGTGTCCCATTGGTGGCCTGTGCAATGTGTGGTCCATAATTGCAGGCTAAACACTGGACATCTGCAGTGGAGAGCCTCCATCTGCAAAATATTTGCAAGAGCTTCACTTTGTTAAATCTCAGAAAGGCAAATTCCTGGCTCAAGCACAATCACCAGGACTTTTGCAGTAAAGGCAAGATTCGCCTCCTAATTTTTTCAGTCTTCTCCCTGCAGATTTTTTCTTATCTGAGCCCTGCTCAGCTGCTACCTTGATTCTTTTTTTTATTTTGCTTTTCAATAACAGTGATGTTGCGAGTCATTGCAGCAAGGATGAGCACAAATTCTTCCTATAGGTACTAAAGTGAGTTGATAGAGCTCAAATAGAACACTATGAGCAGAGAATCAGTGGGACTGAACAAGAACAACGGCTGTTTCTCCATTAACGTAAATGAGAAACTGTCTCACTGTGCTTGTTTAGTCAAACTGTTGCCCACAAAGAGATGATGTTTGCTTCTCTCACGTAAATTTTCCTGGAGCTTTCAGGCGCTCTGATTAGTATTTGCAACTTCAAAAATCTCTGTTTAACTGTCCTGTCTGCCATTCTCCTTCTGGATGTTATTGATTGCAGAGCCGTTTCCGTGCAAATAGGAGCATTCACCTTTTAAAATTAGCCTGCTCCTCCTTCCTCCATGATGAGCTTCCATTGCAATCCAGCTGGGCTTGGCAACAGAACAAAATCCCTTCCCTGCAAGAGAAGAACGCAAGCAGAAGGGTGGAAGAATGCTCGGAGGGGTAAACATGGAGGAAACTTTATTTAGCTGAAGACAATCGTACGTGCACACAAAAAATGTTTAAACTGAATTTTAGGACTAAGTACATAATCATTCACAGTTACTGAGATTTTTCAAGGCAATTTACGAAAGCCATGCTCCAAATTGCTGTTTAGTTTTCCAGAGAGTTAGCTGTCCAGCTTCTATAAGCTGAAAAGAATGGTTAATTCTCATTTTCAATGGCTGGTGGGGGTCTATGTGAGAAACCATGTGTTCATGTGCTAAATACCACATCTTTCTGTAAGCAGGAGCAGTGTGATCACATGAAGTTTAGAGCTCAGATGGAGCTCATCACACCTGGTAGGTCTCTGCCTAGTGGCTGGGTTGACACAAGACCTGAAAGCCTGCAGTGGCATGTAGTTGACCTAACAGTGGATTTCTGTAGTGAAAGTGTGCATGGATCAGCTTGGGCTCCCAGTGGGGACTCTGAGAGAATAGGTACTTCTGGGCCACAGATCATCCTAGGGCAGATACCTACAGTAGCAAAGATGAGCCATACCTTAGGAATTTTTTTTTCCCCTCCCTTTCTTGGCTACAAAGGCTGCTGAGGTGACTGGCTCAGATGTAGACATCTGCACAATGGAAAGGTAAAGTTTGCATGGATGAGTGCTGTCCCAAATGTTGAGAATACTCCTCTCCATCACCATCCTTTTCTTCAGGACCTTCTCATCACTCAGCCCTGCAGACCTGTGCCTGCCTGCTGCCTTCACCACTGCTTCTGCTGGCCTTTACTTCTGCTCTCCTTCGCCATATGGAACAGCTGCCATCTGCTGTTGTAACCATGTGATAGGGACCTGCTGGTGTGATCTCCACAGCTCATGTCTATGCTGTCTTATTAAAACCCCTTGAGAAGTTTTAAAAAGTAATTTTAACTTCCAAGGATGTTCTACAAGGGCTCTTGTCCATCAGGAGGCCCCTGTCAGGGGGGTAATGTGGTAGCTGTGTTTCATGTCTTTTGGCTTGAGGGAAATCACCAGGGCACTTAGCATAAGCTGCTGCTCTTCCTTAGCTATTTTAGTGTGAGCTCTTGAGCTGCTTCCAGAGCTTCCACCTTGCTTGTAGTCTCCAGCGACATTCCAGTCTCCAGCCCATGCAGTAAGCCTCCTCTCCGCTCAGCTGCTCTTTCTAGGAGCTCCCATCCCCTCTGTGAGAGTGTGGGGGATCTAAATGTGTAGGACAGCAGGTTGCAGGAGTCAACTTCTGCTAGAGAGATCTAGGAAAGTGTTTTTCCCACAACTGTCACGTTGCTATTGGAGGCAGCAGCGTTCAAATTTCTGCAGTGGCTGAACCCCAGCCTGTCCCGTGATCTCCTCTTAAGTGGCTTTCAGTCTTCCTTGCCTGTAACAGTGAAAAAGTA